GTTACCGGACGAATCCTAATTAAAGCAACACATTATTTTTGTATTGTATAGTAACTCTCTATATGTTGCACGCGAAGCATATAATGATAAGATAATCATCACAATTAAGAATATCACCCAAATAACAATACAAAACAAAACAAACAAAAAATAATCATCACAATTCACAAGAATTACCTACTTAATAATTACATCGATCATATGATAATCACCCCCATAAGCTACTGGACAACATAATAATGATGCATACATATGTACATAATAATGTAATCAAAGATAAGATAAAATATGTGAGTTACCAAGACCGCAATCAGTTGGCCGGTCATGTCCATCAAAGTCTTCCACACCACTCAGCTGATTCCCACGGCACACATCCCATCATACATACATATATGTGATATCTATGTATATACATGTATGATGGAATACAAGCTAACACCTTCTCTACGCGTGTGTTAAACAAAGTATATATGGACGCGCACTGCAAATACTTGTATATGTGACAATATCCAACCACCATTTTCTGCGTTTATTTTATGTCCAGTGCTGCTCTTAGGGCAAATCCTTTTGATTCTTTACGGTTGGTTAACAAGTGGGCGATTTTAATATTATCGACAATCCACGTAAAGTTTATATATATATATATATATATATATTTTTTTTTTTTTTTTTTATTACAAACTACATTTACTACTTCAATTTATATTAAAGAGAGGAGAATAGTTTAAACTTTAAAAGCGGTGAAACGTCTTAAGCACTAAAATAATTCATCACTAGGGATAATTTTACATCGTGAAAAATAAAAAATATATATAGGTGAATAAAATATATATTTTTTCAGCCAAAGTTTTCATTTGTACTATGGGATAATGGGTAACTAGAATGATTCTTAAAAATAAAGGAAGCAGGAGCACTGAGCATATATATAATCTGGCGGGGGCACCCCCACGAGTCCTCCACCAAATGATTTGCATTATGTATGTCATAGCTGCTAGGTAGGATCACATTGACACATTCGCATGTGTAAGCATTATACAAGCTTAAAGCTTTCCACTTCCACTTTCCACTTTCCACTTTCCACCCAAAAACAAACAAATTAAGACTATTATAAAAATGAATCCCCACTCCATTATCATAATAAACTGGGTTGCATGACACGTGTGGATTTCTGAACTTCATTGCCCGAGCACACCAGACGAACAATATTGTTCCAAAACAAAACCCAGTCTAATAATTTATGAGAACTTGAGAAGGGAAGGGTAGTAGTGTACATTATCATTTTGGACACTTGCATGCACATCGTTCTTTTTTACTTTCTTTATTGTGATATTTGGATCAGAAATATTGAGATAAAGATACGTGCAAAAGAAAGTAGTTAAAAGTGAAACTGTGTAAGTATATATATTATCGAAAACGAAAAGAATCCTTTCTGTCATCCACAAGATATAAAATGTCAATTAATTGCATGCTTTATGTAAAGTCAATAATAGTTTACAAGTTTAAGGCAATGTCATAATTCATAAACAACGAATACATTTACCTAAAACTTTTATCTCTCCCACAATTTGTCAACTAAACTTGCCGTCCGTCCTTTGCACCTGATCATGTCTCTATATAGTTTTTTTTCCAAAACAATTAGTTCTATTATTTCATTACTAGCTAGAGGCTAGAGCATCGCAAATACTTTGGCAAAATGGAGCTCTTCATGTTATATTAGTAACTCCCTCATATGCTATTCATGTGGTTGATAAAGTTATTGTAGTGGAAGTTACGATTTTTTTTAACACACGATATTATCTACGTTAAGGGGGTTAAGGGGGTGAGGGAGTAGGCTAAGCCTCATAATGGGCTAGCAATAATGTGGTTCAAATTCGCCTTTGACGAGAATCGAACCTAAAACCTCTCATTTACATGTGAAGAGGAATATCACTAAACCTAATAAGTGGCACTATTTCATTTTTGTTTATGAAAATTAATATAAACTCACTTAAGTAAAATGGGTCATGATCATTTTACCCTCCTTTAAAAAGGATAAAATGACCATCATGTCCCTTTTGGTTTAGAAATTATCACGTGATGGTCATTTTATCCAATTTGTTAATATTTTTCTACAAGTGTCTACTGAATTTAAAAAGGTAAAATGACTGAATTTGTTCATATTTTTCGACAGGTAAAATTCGGTATGCCTTTGCTAAAAATTTACGTGGTCTCTGTTGGAATTGATTTTGGTGTGGAATGTGTGTGTGGTGTGAGGGTGATTTAGTAAGTAAGTAGAGTGTATTAAGATATTTTAACAGTTAAAAAGTAGGTGTGAGGTATTTTTAGTGTGTGAGTGTGTGGAACAATATGTGGGATGCCAATTAAACAATCCTATATAGGTATAAGTAGACAATATTAGCAAGGGAGACGTGAATTGTTAATAATCATTTTGTTTGGGTTTGTTTTCATCATTTTTATTAAAAATAAGAAAATTGTTTATTAGTAACCGTTTTGATTTAAAAAAAAATGAAAAGTGAAAAGTACTTTTTTTTAATTTCTAAAACTTGCGTTGTTTTTGGTGTGAAACTGAAATAGTAGTCAATAACTAAACTACAAGTCCAAAAGATAAAAGAGAAAAATTTATATACAATTTCATAACACGGGGACATTGTCATATATTCTGTGCCATAATTTTTTTATTTTTAAATATGGAATATATAGGGAAGGTATAAAGATATATATCAAAACGCAAGGGCATACTCGAGTGGAAGAAAAACTCGATGTCATTGTCATGGACAAATATATGAAATTTATATTCATATACTCATGCACAGGTTGGGAGGGAAAGACAATGCTCCAAAATATGATGCTCGCGCCACCCAGCGTCAAATAGCCAATACTTTTGCAAGTCTCTGAAATGAGAAAGGGCAGGCTAGGCTCCACCACGCAACCGGATCCCATTTACTCTTATCTCTCAGACTGATCTGATCAGTAGTGCTCTCTCAAAAGAAACTTCATTATTTTATTTTTATGGACACAAATTGGAATCTGATTGATGGCTTCTTCCTTTAATCATTCTTCGATCTCTCTTATTCAGCTGATTATATTAGGAAGATTAAATTTGTAGATCAAATGACATAAAAGTTTATTGAATTATTACTTAAACGTTGATAAACGTAATCATTTTTATTGGTGATACATCATTTAATTTGTAATTTTATCAACAAATTTAATCTTACTAACATTAAACTAATTTTACAATCAAGTAAAAAGCAAAACAAAAGTGCGTACGTATGTGCGTGCGAGAGGAGATAAATTATCTCTTGCAACTTAAAACATCATATTATAATATTTATTAAGCGAACGGTACACTGTTTAAACACGTGAATGATTATTTAATAAACCGGTGATATTATCAAGCCTAATTCTTGCTTGCGTGAAAATTTGTTTTGTGTGTATGAGAAGGAGAGTGGACTTTGTTTAGCATCTAACTTGAAAACTTTTCCCACCTTTTAAAATGAATATTATTGATATATGATACCATGTAACCATAAAATACAACAGTCATACCGAATTTCAAAGATACGAATGTTGAAAACTACGGACCCAAATCAATTACTATTTATTTAAAAAAAGGGGAAGGGAATATAAGAATATATTGATTAATTATTTACAAGGAAAGGCGGCATTACTGTGTCTCTTTAGTTTACTTAGAAATTCTTTTAGGGCAATTCAATTCACCATAGCTTTCTCTCGTAATCCCACAACTCTTCTTTTCCTTCCCAGCTTTTTCTTTTCAACTTATTCTTGCTGTTGAGAAAAAGTAAATTCTTCAAATCGAGGCATGAATTTCTTATGCTTTATACGCTTACAAATAGAGGCTAATGATTTTCCAAAAACACAAAAAGAAAATTTAAATGAACCGTCTTGACATGTTGATAAGCCTAAAAAAAAGATGCTGGAATGAAAAGGAATGTACTTTAGCTAATATGCATGAACGAGGTGATAGTCCCAAACCCCGGATCCTTTCTTTGGCATTATCCCCCAATGAACTTGTTTAACAAAATCTAACATGAGTCATGACCGCACGCCCATAGTGATTTTGTTAAACAAGATCACCATACTGTACCCAAATTAGTTGTTTGAATAAAAGGATAGACTAAGTTCAACTTGTGACAAGCTAATTAAACCCAGTAACTAATTATTCTAAACAACTTTAATTACGTGACAAACGGGGCCTTACTGATAATAATAATAATTGCATTCCCCTCTTCGAGCATGAGCTTGTTCATCCACTTGCAAATAACGTATTTTCAACGTAGAAATTTTATAATTGGAACCACTCAATCTATTAATCTTTATTTGAAGATCATTTCTATAAAAATTATTTGAATGGGTGATTGTTTAGTCATCTAAATGTATTGAATAAATCAACGGTGAAGATACCAAGTAACATATTTATGATGAACCGCTGGTTTACATGATATATTTGGATGCCTAAACGATTCACTGATTTAAATAATTTTTTGTAGGGTTGATCTTCAAATAAAGATTAAGAGATTGAACGATTCCAATTAAGAAATTTTTACAGTGAAGATATGTTATTTGCAAGTAAGGGAATAAACTCATCCCCAAGGGGAAAATGTAAAGCATTCCTAAACAAAATTTTGCCACTCAAAAAAAAAAGAAAAAGGTTTTTGAGCACCCCTCATTAGCGTATTATTGTTTCCAAATATAGAAAATTCTTAAGATGCAGATGTGCTCGATAATTTTAACTATTTGAGTTACAAACTGTTTGCTTTTCAAATAAACTTACATATATATTTGATTTCTACGTACATCCACGATGACCAAAATACTAATCAAGAATAGACAGAAAAGATGCCAATAAAGGGGACTAGCTTAGCTATATATAGGATGAGATTAGTACTAAGATTAATGGCTAATAGTTAGTGTTCGAATAAATTAATAGAAAAGGTGGGATTCCCACCATCGCCACATGGAATGGAGATCTACATGACCATGGATGCGAGCACACAAGAGGACATCTTCCATCCTTCGTGTGTGACTGTGTGTGTGTGTGTCTATATATATATATGCATATCGAAAAGCTATATATTTATGTGCTCCCAGGCTCGTTCGCTTTGGGACGCCAACTTAAATCAAGCCAAGTCAAGTACGCCTACGTACTTGTGCCCTTCCCCAACCATCGCACGCAACAAAATTATCGAAAAAAAGGATAAAACACAAACATTCAACTTTGCAATGTCTCTCAGCAGCATAGTGCCAAAACCAGCAGAATATGGCGGCAGCGACAGTACTTGTGCTACTACTGTTGAAGGTTCGCCGGAGATGCCTGCTGGAAACCAGAACAAGGCAGCGCCCGCCACCCAAGTTAATTCACAAGCTTTCCTACAACTGACGTTGTACCCTATAACTTTAAAGGTCTCTCATCATCATCTCTCTCTCTCTCTCTCTCTCTCTCTCTCTCTCTCTCTCTCTCTCTCTCTTATCGACGTATGTATAAAAGTGACAATCCTACTAAAATTAAGTAATTAATTTATTAGTAACTAAATTGCAGTTTGAGGAGGTGTTTTACAAAGTGAAAGTGGACCAGAAAGGGAGTAGGGATAGCAGCAGATCTAGAGAAAAAAGTATACTGAGTGGGATAACAGGTATGGTATGTCCGGGAGAGATACTAGCCATGTTAGGGCCATCTGGAAGTGGGAAGACGACCCTCCTTACTGCCCTGGGAGGGCGCCTCAATCATCAGAATAACAGCAAGTTCATGTCAGGCAAGATCAGCTACAACGGCCAGTCATTCTGCGGGGCCATCAAACGACGAACGGGATTCGTTGCCCAGGACGACGTTCTGTACCCGCATCTCACCGTGACTGAGACTCTTGTGTTCACGGCTATGCTGAGGCTGCCCAACAGCCTGGGCCGGGACGAGAAAGTGCAGCACGTGGAGCACGTGATCAGTGAGCTGGGCTTGACTCGGTGCCGGAGCAGCATGATAGGGGGCCCACTGTTTAGAGGGATATCAGGGGGTGAGAAGAAGAGGGTGAGTATAGGTCAAGAGATGCTGATTAACCCGAGCTTACTTTTGCTGGATGAGCCCACCTCAGGGTTGGACTCCACTACAGCTCAGCGGATCCTGACCACACTAAAAAGGCTTGCTAGTGGGGGCCGAACCCTTGTCACCACCATCCACCAGCCCTCCAGCCGCATCTACCACATGTTTGATAAGCTCGTCCTGCTTTCCGAGGGCTCACCCATTTATTATGGCCCTGCTTCTGCGGCCCTAGATTATTTTTCCTCCATCGGTTTCTCCACGTCCTTGCCTAGTGTTAATCCTGCTGATCTTTTGCTGGATCTTGCTAACGGTATGTATGCATGTATGAACTAATTATTATATGCATGCATGCGCATATATGCGTATGTTAAAATGGTCGATCGATCCACCATCTCCATCTGATTGTTTATTCAAACTAATTACGTACGTTACGTCCAGGAATCGCCCCTGATTCCAAACATGCATGTGAGCAGCGCGAGAATACGAACACGGAACAGGAGCAAAAGATGGTGAGAAAAGCTCTCATTTCTGCCTACGATAAGAACATTTATGCAAAGTTGAAAGATGAGCTCTGTGCTGGTTTGGAGGTCAACAACTACAACAATTACATGAAAGAAGCTGCTTCTGCAAGTAATTCCTTAAGCATATCCTCTCTCGCTCTCATTTTCCTAGCCCCTGGTTCGTTTAATTTTTATTTTCAATTAATAATAGTGGCTTTTGTAGTGCATTAGCTGATCATGCGATACCTGCAGAGCAATATTGGTGTACAAGCTGGTGGCACCAGTTCAAGGTGCTGCTTCAGAGGGGGTTAAGGGAGCGAAGGTACGAAGCCTTCAACAGGCTAAGGATTTTCCAAGTAATAAGTGTGGCCACGCTTGGTGGACTCCTCTGGTGGCGCACACCCACTTCTCACATTGAAGACCGTGTAAGCTACAATTCCTTTCTTTAATTTATAATTCATAACTTCATATAGGGTTTAGTGTGGCCACGTATTAATAATTTTTTAGTGTGTATATGGTTGGTTGGTTGCAGATCGCTTTGCTCTTCTTCTTCTCCGTGTTCTGGGGGTTCTACCCACTGTACAATGCAGTGTTCACATTTCCCCAGGAGAGAAGGATGCTGATAAAAGAACGATCATCGGGAATGTACCGGCTTTCATCGTACTTCCTTGCAAGAACAGTTGGAGACCTGCCGCTGGAGCTGGCACTGCCAACGGCATTTGTGTTGATAATCTATTGGATGGGAGGGCTTAAACCGGACCCCTTTACATTCATCCTGTCCCTGCTTGTGGTTCTGTACAACGTGCTGGTCTCCCAAAGCCTAGGGTTAGCCATTGGTGCCATTCTGATGGACATAAAGCAAGCCACCACTTTGGCCTCGGTTACAACACTTGTCTTCCTCATCGCCGGGGGTTACTACATTCAACAGATTCCCCCCTTCATCGTGTGGCTCAAGTACTTGAGCTATAGCTACTACTGTTACAAGCTTCTTCTTGGGGTCCAATACGATGAGGACGACTTTTATGAGTGCTCCAAGGGTGTCTTGTGCCGAGTCGGAGATTTGCCCGCCGTCAAATCCATGGGTGGTCTCGAACACTTGTGGCTCGATGTCTCCATTCTCGCCTTAATGTTACTGGGTTACCGCCTTCTTGCTTATCTTGCACTCCATCGAGTGCGCTTGAGGAGATAATTAATCATTAACTTCATCGATCAATCATCATCCGAAGATTTTTCTCCTTCTTCATCAACTGATCGATCGTGCATCGAGGAGGAACGTAGCTGAAAATCATCAAATTATGTGGTGGAAATTTGAGTTGGAATTAATTAAAATCATATATGCTGTAGCCAGCTTAATTTAATCGGCTTGATCGATATTAGTTACTGACTTGTAGAAGATCATTCTAATTTCAAAATAATACTTTAATTATGCTCAATCAGTTACGATAATAAAGAGAAAGAGAACATATGCTCTTCAATTTCTAGTTGCGAGCACACCCAACTGCCGGATCATTCAAAGAATGGTCGTCCTTGTAGTAGAATATTATTGTCAATCAAATCTGAACAATATCCTCCTTCTTTAATTAGTGTAATAAAAATAATGTTACGAAGACCAAATTTTTAAACCAAATTTGATAACCAAATGATGCATCACCAATAAAAAATAAACACATTAAACAACATTTAAGTAATAATCTAATCATTAACATCCACATCATTTGGTTTAAAAATTAATCTCCCTAGCATTAAGCATGTTTACTTTTAAAAATAATAAAAACATATGTTAAAATATCAATGGACCAAAAAACACAAGGTACTCACCATGAGACCTAAGTATTATGCTAATAATTATAAGGTTGGGCTATCCACACACCCTATCTACATGAGTATTTTTGTTCACCACCATAAACTTTGGTGTATGCTCACTATATACCTAATCATCTATCACGTGTTCATTCACTTAACTTTAGTTAATTTTTTATAAAATTTTATAAAGTAACATTTAATGTGAAAGTTAAGTAGAGTTAGTTGAAATGACTCAAGACAAATAATTAGGTGTATCGTGAGCATACACCATAGTTATGTTGGTGAGCAAAAAATGCTCCCCCTATTTACCTCCCAAATGACACACCCCTCTCAATTTCCAACAGTCAGATTGAATGAATTGAAGAAGATCAAATAACATAAATTAACAAGGGGTGTGTAAGAAGTAAAAATGGTATGTGGATAGTACAATCCTAATTATAAGATAAGATGACTAATTATATTCAAGATGTATACAAGCAGATTATATATATATATATATATATAACTGATAAAAAGGGTTTCAAAACTTTAAATCTTAACCAAAACCATTCAAACAACTTTATTTAATATTTATGTAAAAAATAATAAGATATATATATATATATATATATATATAAATTAGTCTGTCGCGTATCCCCCATTTAGGCACAAGTGTAGAGCGGATTAATCAACTTGGACCAGTTTTGTTAATCCGACAACTATTTAATACATAAGACTCCAAACGCTCGATTCAGATTAAATACTCATATCCGATGTCTTATACAAGATGCCAAACGAAGCATGAATGACTAAATAGTCTCCAATTTGATTTATATTTTGTAAAGGTAATGCTTGGTATGCTAAATTTGCAAACTAAATGATGTGTCACCAATACGAAATAAGCATGTTAATCAACACTTAAGTAATAATTCAATCATCAACTTCCATATAATTTAGTTTACAAAATTTAATCTCCCTCACATTATCTTTTTGTAAATATAATATTTAAAAGGATTATTGGCACTTCAAAAAATTAAATTTTTTTAATTATAAAAAATTTAGAGTGTACAATTATATTGTTTGGGTGCCAATAACAATTTTTCTATTTAAAGAGAAATTGATAAAATAAACGGTATTGATTATCACATGAGCAAGTAACCGTATAAATCTGTTGATCAAGAAGCACTAAAGCCCAATAAACCAAATCCGTATTTTCGGGCGCAGAGAATGGGCCTAGCGGCTAGGCTAGGCCCTAGCCTATAGAATGCCGAAATTATTTTAGTTTCCATCGACCGATAGCGATTGGGGAAGAAATACACTCACCCTAAAAGGAAGAGTACCCAGATTCTAATTCTATTAGGGGAAGAAATAGAGAGACTGAGAACTGACAAGAGGAAGGAGGTATGGAAGGTGAAGAGGAAGGAGGGATAAGGCTGAGCAAGAGATTTTCGGACAAAGGAGGAGAAGGAGGAGGAGGTGGGGAGGTTGATTACAAGAATAAGTCAGGCACGGCGTGGAGCCACTCGTACCTGAATCAGAAGCCATGGCACCCTCTCTCTTACCCCAATCAGCGCCGTAAGTGGATCGCAGAGCAGATCCAGGCCCAGCGTCAGCGTCGTACCGAGGAGGTCTCCCGCGAGGCACGGATTGCACTACCAAGTTCCAACCTTTTTTATTTCTTTATTTACTTATGATTGTTTGTTGACTAAATTCAATTCTCTCTCTTATCAAATACCAATTATCAATTCTGTCATTCATTGGTGCAGTATGCCCAAGAGCAGGAATTCTTTCGGCAGGCCGCTCTCGTCTCCAAGAAAGACAAGGAAAAGGTTCTCTTTTCTTCTCTTCTCTTATCTTTGTGTTTTCTCTTTTAATTTAACAACCGAACAAAATTCATACCTTCCCAATGCAAGGCAAAAGTAACATTTTTTAAGTTGATGGATGTATTGCATTGGTGTAGATTGAGACTATGAAAGCTGTTAGCTTTATGTATGTTCGACCGCCTGGTTACAATGCCGAAAGTGCAAAAGCTGCAGAGATTGCTGATGAGAGTGCAAGGGAGCACCCACAAACACAAGCTCTAACAGATGCTACTGCTACTTCCACTTCAAGGTACCATTTGCATTATATTCTGCCTTCCTATTTGATTGCAATATGTATTTTCCTTCAATTCATCTTTGTTAGGCCTAATTGTCTATTCTCTCATTAGCCAACGCCCACCCGAGTCTTTGCCTCCTACCGCTGAACATGCCAAGAAATCAAGGCCTAAAGATGTGTTTGGCCGTCCTTTACCAACAGAACAAGAATTTGAAGTTTTGAAAAATGCTCCAAGGTGTGCCTGTTGCTGCCTTTTCAGTAAGATGCAATGTTTTTATCTTACTTTATAGTTTCTTAATTGACGTGCATTAAGATAATAACATGTTTTATAAATTGATAACGAGATTCATAAGTTGTTTCTTCAGTGCAGCAGACATTTTCATTGTTTTACACACTTCCTTTCTGGACAGTTTAAACTATAGAGTCAATGGGTTGTTATTCTAGAAATGCATAAAAGAAGCTGTTACATCACATTTGTCAGAATATGCAACTTTTTTAGTCAAGCATATCTATGACTGATACAATTTACAATTAAAATGGTGCTGAGGTATCGAACTGAAATTTCTGTTTCCTCACTGTTTAATGATGTTGAGGTACACCACATGAAATTGCTTTCACACGGCTAAAGATGTAAATGCCCCTCTCTTTAAATCATGTTTGAGTTTTTCTTGTGCGTCTTTTGCTATTCAAAGTGACTGAGGTTCACAGTTGGTGCAAGTAGGGGTACTACTCTATTGTTTTCCTGATGATAACAAGGATAATGATACTGATAATGATAATAATAATAGTAATATTCATAATAATTCTTTTTAAGGCTGGAGACTGGTGTTCCTACGAGGGCAAAACCATTTGGAGTTGAAGTGCGCAATGTAAAGTGCGTAAGGTGTGGAACTTTTGGTCACCAAAGTGGCGACCGTGAATGTCCGTTGAAGGATGCCATAATGCCCAATGAAGAGAGCCGTTTGAAAAGGGACGACCCTTTGACTGCTATTCTTGCCCACACAGATCCTAGCGAGGTTAGTCTTTCGATAGCTATCTTGAAACCTACTAGGAAGGCTGCTATTATCCCTTGCTTACAAAATTATTTTCTCTCTTTCGAATGGGTGAATCTTTGAGGTAAGGTGCTGACGCCTTGCATGGGTAGGCTGGCATAAGCCTCAAACATGGGGCATCGCCTTTTAATTGTTTCCTTTTATTTTGTTTGAATGAAGAAGTGCATATTGTATTTCCTACCAAATAAAATTAAGCATGAATTGTATTGCCATCAAAAGTTGTTTAGATCCTCTGAAAAAGAAATAAGCTCACAAAAGTTGTTTAGATCCTCTGAAAAAGAAATAAGCTCACTAAGATTATTCTGTGAGAACTCTTCTACCACCTACCTTAGCATCTTTGGCCAAGTGATTCGGGAATTCCAATAGGGATTTCTACACGGATGGAAGGTTAAATACATGAATTGGGATAAATGGATATGTTTGTTTTCACTTTGGTCTAGATTAAACCATCCAAAAGGGTAAAAGTCTGCATCACACCACGTAAGTCAAGTTGTAATAGGTTCAACTTGCAAGAGTCAAACATTTGTTTTAATAGTTAACTTACTTGAAATTAAACCTCTGTTGCTCAGAATGCAGTTTATTATGGCTTGAGAACTGGAAACTTGGTATACTACCGTCAGGTAGAATATAAATACAACTAATGTTGATTCCTAAATTAGGAGCGTCTAGTGACTCTCAAATATTAGAACTATAACCAGCTTCAATTTTATCCTTGACACTGCAGATGACAGATGCATTCTTAAATCATATATCATGCTAAAAACTGGGATCCTATGTTACTTGTATATAATTTTTATTTGCTTATTTTGCAGCCTTTAAAGTGGGAACTCAAGCAAAAACCAGGAATTAGTCCTCCACGTGGAGGGTTTAAACCAGATGATCCCAACCAACAAATAGTTGCTGAGGACACCATATTTGATGAATATGGAGGTATTTAGTTTTTAATTCCAGAATATGTATGACAACTTTTATCTTTTATCTGTGTTGCCTGTGAGATAACTGCAACTATATACATTTTGTAGGGTTTCTCAGCGGGAATGCCATCCCTGAGTTGCTGACCAACTTCTCAAGCAAACCCAGGATCAAGTCCACAAAGAAGAACAAGCACAAAAAAAAGCAGTCATCACCAGTTAGTGGGGAAGACGGGTTTTCATCTTCTTATGAGGATGATAAGAAGTCAAAGAAGAAGATGAGCAAGGTAAATAAGAAGAAGCACAGCCATTCTGAATCAAGCTCATCAGAGATTCTGGAATTTGATAGGCATAAAGTAAAGCGTAGAGTCAAGCATTGTTATTCATGTGAGAAATCAAATCCTGAAAAGCATCACAAAAGTACAAAGAACAGAAAGAAGCATTCTGATTCATCTGAAAATTCTGAGATTTATAGGCATCGCAGCAGAAGGGACAACAGCAGAGACAGGTGTACTGTTTCATCTGAAGATTCTGAGGCTCTGAAGCACCATAGAGATGTCCAGCGCAGACGCAAGCACTCTTTTTCATTTGAGGAATCGATTCATGAAAAACATCGTAGAAGTAGAATGATCAGACAGAAGCATTCTCATTCATATGAAGATTCCAAGATTGATAGGCATTGCGGAAGGGACGTGAGCAGAGACAGGTTAAATAATTCATCTGAAGGCTCTGAGTCTGATAGACACCTTAAAAGTGGCAAAAGCAGACACCGGCATTCTAATTCATCTGAAGATTCTGACACAGAGAAGCAAAATAGACATAGAAAGAGCAGGGATAGGCACTCTTACTCATATGGTGAAACCGAAAATGAGAAGCATCATAAAAGTACTAACAGAAAACACAAGCGCTTTTGTACTTGAAGTTTTGGCTATAGGAGGATGATAGAAGGGGAGTACAGTAGACACCGATATTGTCATCGTCATCTTCACCATCACCTCAATGCTTAGCAGGTGTCCTGGTGGAAATGAGCTACTAATTACAAGTCAACTGATCTATCAGTCTCATGTTCCCGGTTCTGCCTCAGCTATGATGTTGCCGAAAAACAGGGTTTCTTGTAACCTCGAACAAGTGGACATTTCATATCGTTGTATTCATAGACATGGCTGTGATTCTCTTCTAAAGGATACATTTTGGATAATATGTTGATGTGATTTCAACTTGAGAGAAGAGTGTTTCTTTTTCCTCAAAAACTTGAACGTAAGCGACAGTATGCAATCATGTACGGTTTCCTTTACTTTTGATATTTTCCTTGTTATGAGCAATATTGGTCCCTGTTCTTTAAAATGATAAAATTGGAGTATTGTTGTAAATAGTGGGTATGTATATCCACATGTATACGGTAAAATTTTCATATGCTTAATAGTGTAATTGTTTGGTGTAGTTCCTGATTACTAACCCTAACAATTACTTATATCTTTGATTTCTTATTTGGTGTAGTTCCTGATTACTAGCCCAATGTTTATTTATCTTTGCTGCGATCAAAGATGGTGCGGTATCATCGCCCATCTTAGACTGCAGATTTAATTGTATTACAATTTTAGGTGGTGTGGTATAATCGCCCATCCTACTCTGAATTTTAAAAAATTTCTGCTGCTTGAGTTGTGCGGAATAATCGTCCATCCTATGTTATGTTATTTCAATGAGAATGGTGCGGTACAATTGCTCTTCTCATTCGTCATACAAATCTCGAGCCTGAAGTTTTGAGTGCTTATCATTTTGGCCTGAAGATCAAAATGAAAAAATTGTAAGAACCAGAAGTTCTAACAATGTATTCCTTCAGAATACATATTATTGCAAGTTCTTACGCACCTCATTTTTCTTTCAAAAAATAAAATGGCGAACTTGGCAAAACTTGATTTTATTGCCCTGGATATTACTGGGAAAAACTACCTTACCTGGATAATGGATGCCAAGATCCATCTAGAGGCAGGGAATGTTGGGGAAACCATCAAGGATGATAACAGTGCATCCTCTCAAGATCGGGTGAAGGCCATGATCTTTATCCATCGCCACCTTGATGAATGACTGAAGAGCGAGTACCTCACGGTTGAAGATCCATTAACCCTCTGGAAAGCACTGAGAAATAGATACAATCACCAGAAACGATGATTCTTCCAAGGGCTCGTTATGAGTGGACTCACCTAAGGATCCAGGATTTCAAGACGGTAGCTTAATACAATTATGCAATGTTCAGAATTAGTTCCCAATTGAACCTCTGTGGAAAAACAATAACTGAAAAAGATATGTTGGAAAAAACTTTCAGTACCTTTCATGCCTCCAACATGCTCCTGCAGTATCAGTATAGAGAAATAGGCTTTACTGAGTACAATCAGCTGATATATGTACTCCTTGTAGCTGAGCAAAACAATGAACTTTTCATGAAAAATCATCAGTCCTGACCTACTGGATCAGCATCATTCCCAGAAGTGAATAATGTTTCCCTTGAAGGGAATACCACATCCTCTCGTGGAAATAACAACTACAAACGAGGATGTGGCCACAAGCGAGGCCGATGGAATGGGAAAGGCAAGAACCATGGTGTCCAGTTTCACAACCAGGTTCCAAGGCATAATTTAGGCCCAAGCTTTAAGAATGAAAATCGCCAGAAAGGCAAAACTCATATGAACACTCCTAGAAATCTTGAAGGAGTTTGTCATAGGTGTGATGGCAATGGGCACTGGGCGCGTACCTGTCGTACCCCAAAACATTTGGTGGATCTGTATCAAGCCTCCCTCAAGGAGAAGGGTGTTGAGACAAATTTCCTCGACCAGGCTAAACCGATGGATATACCTAATCTAGTGTTCGATTTATCAGGATAATTGAACACAATCCACTTGAATGTTTCGGACTTTATTATTGAATGAGGGAATGAAGTATATTGGTCCAAATGAATTATTTATGTTTGATATACTCTAGTTATTTGTACTTGTGGTTTAATGCTCGCATTTTCAATTTAATAAAAGTGGTATTCCAGTATGAATAAACTTTTTTTAACTGTAATTTCCTTACTCAAAGAACATGGATAAAAATTATGGTTATTCTCAAAACAAGAGCAATGGTGGAGATATTTATCTTGCAAATAGTGCAACCACGCATACAATACTTCAAGATCGAAAGTATTTCTCAAGCTTGATACTTGCAAAAGTAAAGGTAATAACAATATCAGGGCAATCAAATGTAATTGAATGCTTAGAAAAAGCCCAGATCATGTTACCAAATGGAACAATATTGTCCATACAAAATGCGTTGTACACTACTCGATCTACTCGAAATTTGTTAAGTTTTAAAGATATACGTCTAAATGGATACCACATTGAAACGAAAAGTGCAGAAAATGTGGAATATCTATACATTACCTCCAATGATACCCAGAAGTGTATATTGGAAAAGTTGCGTGGTTTATCGAGTAGATTGTATTATACATACATAAAGACAATTGAGGCACATACTGTCATGAACTAAAAGTTCATTGATTCAAAAGTTTACATGCTTTGGCATGGCCGTCTGGGTCATCCAGGATCCACCATGATGCATAGGATTATTACCAAATGATAACCCTGGCAAAACTTGTTCCCAAAGGAAGTTGGTAATTAGACCATCACAACTAAAGGTTGATGCTGAATTCCCATCATTTTTGCAAAGAATTCAAGGGGATATTTGTGGGCCTATTCAACCACCTTGTGGACCATTTCGATATTTTATGGTTTTGGTTGATGCATCTACCCAATGTGTTTAGCAGAGGCATTTATCAAGCGGCTTCAATTAATAGCTCACACTCTGCTCATGAAAACAAAATTGTCAATCTCTGCATGGGGACATGCCATCTTACATGCTGCATCATTGGTTCGATTGAGACCTATAACCAACCACCAATACTCATCAATACAACTTGTGTTTGGGCATCAACCAAACATTTCACATTTACAATTTTTTGGTTGTGCTGTTTATGTGCCTATTGCACCGCCACAACTCACTAAAATGGGATCTCAGCGCAGACTAGGAATTTATGTGGGTTTTGATTCACCATCTATCATTAGATATTTGGAACCCTTGACGGGTGATATGTTTACAGCTCGTTTTGCTGATTGTCACTTTAATGAACAGTTTTCCCGTTGTTAGGGGGAGAAAAAACCGTTCCAGAAGAACGGAAGAGTTGACATGGGTTGTTCCCACCTTATCTCATTTTGATCCACAAAGCACTTAATGTGAAAATGAACTAAAAAGGGCCATTTGCCTTCAAAGTATTGCTAATCAAATGCCAGATGCATTTAATAATGCTTCAAAAGTGACAAAATCACATATATTAGTTGCAAATGCACCTATAAGAATTGATGTCCCTGTTTGACAAAATAAAGTGGCAGAAAATGATTCATCTGGTGCATGTCTGAAGCGTGGTAAACCCCCAGGTTCAAAATATACAGCCCCTCGAAAGAGAAAGATGAAAGCACAGTTGAACCCAAATGAAAGCATTCAAGAAAAGAAAATGAATGATAAATCCACAATTCATGATTCTGTACTTCCAGAAAACGAAAATGTCCTTGATGAGACATATGTCCCTGAAGAGACAGAAGTACATGAAAGCAAAGAAATATCCATAAATTATGCAAGTACTAATGAATTGTGGGATCGAAATGAAATAATCATTGACGACATGTTCACATTTGCAATAGCCACTGAAATTATATTAAGCGATGACATTGAGCCCCGCTCTATTGATGAATGCAAACAGAGACAAGATTGGCCTAAGTGTAAAAATGCAATTTAGGCAAAATTAAATTCCTTGGAAATGAGAAGTGTTTTTGGACCGGTAATCCAAACCCCGCATGGTGTAAACCCCGTGGGTTGCAAATGGGTATTCACAAGGAAACGCAACGAGAAAAATGAGATTGTTAGATATAAAGCACAACTCGTTACACAAGGTTTTTCACAAAGACCTGGAATTGATTATAAAGAGACATACTCTTCTGTAATGGACGTAATTACGTTCCGTTACTTAATAAGTTTGGTAGTTTCATAAAAACTTGACATGCGACTTATAGATGTCATCACCGTGTATCTATATGGAGAAATAGATACTGAAATATATATGAAAGTTCTAGAAGGACTTAAGTTGCTTGAAACAACTAACAAACCACGAGGTATGTTCTCAATTAAATTAAGGCGATCATTATATGGGCTAAAACAATTTGGACGAATGTGGTATAATCGTCCTAATGAATATTTGATCAAAGAAGGATATACCAACAATGTCATATGTCCTTGTATGTTTATTAAGAAATCAAATACTGGATTTGCTATAGTGGCAGTATATGTCAATGATATGAACCTAGTTGGAACCCCTTAATAGCTTAATAAAACTGTTGAATATCTAAAAAGCAAATTTGAAATGAAAGACCTTGGGAAAACAAAATATTATCTCGGCCTGCAGATCGAGCATTGTGCTAATGGAATTTTGGTCCATCAATCAGCTTACATTGAAAAAATACTGAAGCAATTTGGCATGGACAAGGTTTATCCGCTTAGCACCCTAATGGTCGTTCGTTCTTTGGACATTAAGAAAGACCCATTCCGTCCAAAAGAAAATGATAAACTGGTCCTTGGTCCAGAAGTACCATATTTAAGTCTGTTTGTACCATACTTGACCAATCCCGAAACTACTCAGCACCGGTCAACGTTATACCGTCAAATACCCAGAAGAGCTTCCCTTCAACCAGGAGGCCAATCACAATGCGACATGTGTCGACATCAGAAGCCAATCACAGCTCGACACGTGTCAACATCAGAAGCCAATCACAACACGACACGTGTCAATGTTAGAACAAAACTAGAAACTCTCTTCTATAAATAGGGATCATTCTCCCACAATAATCTCTAATGTCATTTTGTACTAAACTATTCACTAGAACTCACAAAATGAGAGCTTGAACCTATGTATTTGTGTAAACCCTTCACAATTAATGAGAACTCCTCTACTCCGTGGACGTAGCCGATCTGGGTGAACCACGTACATCTTGTGTTTGCTTCCCTGTCCCTATTCATTTACGTACTTATCTTCACTAGTGATCGAAGCAACCAAGCGAAGGTCACAAACCTGACACTTTATGTTGTACCAAAGTTCTCGCTGATTTTATGCATCAACATTTGGCGCCGTCTGTGGGAAAGACACTTACTCCCACTCTCTTCAGCTTTGTTAAGCTGGTTTCCACCGCTCGTACACTTTCTTTTGGCCAAACATCTCTCTCTAACATGGGGAGCGAAAGAAGCCATAGCACACAGAATGACACCCCCATTGGACCTAGTACGAAGCAAC